TAATTATCTTTTTCCAGAAGGAAAATAAAACATATACCCCAAGTTCTACAGATTTATAAAAGCATAAGTATAAATCTTCCGGGTAATAAGTTATGGCTGTCTATCAATTCCAGGATTGAGCCTTCTGTGCATGCTAGCAGGGATAAAGCAAAGATGAACCAAATTTGAACCATGCCCTCGAGGTGTTCCCAGGAAAAGAAAAGAAATACAGATAGAAAGCAATAGTGCAAAGTAGAAAGTGATAGTAGGGTAAGACATAGCTGAAATAAAGGGCAGGGCTGGGGATGTTCTGAAGGCCAGTCAGATATGAAGAAGTAACAGTTGAAGCTAGGAGACATGAAGAGGAGGGATTAAGGACAAAGTGGTGGGAATATCTCAGACAGAGAGGTAGAGGATGGAGGATATTCAAGAGGACATGGGCAAGGCACTGCCAGTTCAAAATGGGGGACACATGGCCACTGTGGTGCTGCCTGGAGAGGCTGGGAAACAGCCCCAAGATGCCAGGAGTTAATGCCTGTGAGGCTCACCCTCCTTCCCACCAGGGATCAGTGGGGAGGATTTGGCAGGGCAGAGGCGACTGTCCTCTTGGAAACAGAAGGGTAGAATGGAGAATGATGCCATTGCTGGGCCTGGAAGATTGTACGAGTTCGACATTAGTAATATGCTCCCTTGAAGGAATTAGACACTAGATATTCAGATGTCTTTCAAGTTCTGGTATCTTGACAAAGTTTTGAAAAGGAAATACAACAGCAGATTAAAGAGTCTAATTTTTAAAACTTTTAAAATCATGAAGAGATTGAGTATGTGTGTTTTGGAGATATGAGAATTAATACAACAAAGTCCCTGCTGTGAAGTCTAGCAAGGGAGATAGGTTGACAAGTCTTTGTAAGTGGAGGCAGCGCAATGCTCTGGGATCACAGAGGAGAGAACTACTTACGGGTACCATCAGTGGGCTGCAAGGAAGAGGGAGCATCGAGGTGAATAGAGGAATCTTTGGCTGTAGGGAGGTTAGAAAACATGAAAATGATGTGGTGCAATCAACTGGTTTTGCTTCATAACCATGTCAAGTGATGCTGAAATCCAAACAGCAGAAGCCTTAAGGGCAAATCAAAATTTTTCTTGGCTAGGGTTGGGCAAGGCAATCAGGAAGCACAATGACCCCAGTAAGACTGAATGGGGCCAGAGTTGTAAAATAAGCATGAAAGAATGAATGAGAGAAGGGAGCAAAACCCAAAAGATGGTAAGAAAATGGAGTGTGAACCAGCAGGACAGTGGTTTTTGTCCCTCTCATGACCCCAGGAGATCTCCTGGATACACAAAAGAGAGCTCAGCCTGAGCCTGGGAGGCTCTGAGCCGAAGTTCAAATGCTGGGAGCCCAGGGCTGATTTGATGGGGACGGGGTGCTAAGGGATGTCTGTGTGCAAATTAATTCCCAGAAAACAGGACCTAGGATGGATGAGTTTGAACAGAAATTAGTAGTCCAGGAGCTTCAAAATCTGAATTGAGCATAGAAATATTGCTGGAATCTGTTTCTAGCTCAGCCCCTTGGATGTGGTTCCCTGTGAAAATATGCCAAACAGAGATTTCTGAGAAACATGAGGTCTGCTCAAGGACTTCTCTAGCTGTGTGTGTCAACAAAGAGAAGAGCCTTTCATCCTTTCTATGTCCCTAGGCTTCCTCTAGCTTTGACGTCATGAGAACCCTCGTTCTGTGGTGGCAAGGTTTAGCAGAGACCAGACACCCAGGGCAGTGGGGGCACAGGCAGTAGGAAGGAGAAAGGGCACAACCGGTAGGATGGAGAAGGACATGAACACATGTCCTGTCTGCCTGCGGCCCAGAGAAACATCTCAGAGGAGCTTGGAGAGGGGCTGTGTTTCTCAGGCAATGGTGGAAAAAGGCCAGTGGCTTATGACTTCTCACTCTCTGGAGAGGCAGGAAAGGCCAAGCTCTTGTGTTCTGGAATGACACAGGTTAGTCCTGCAACTTATTAGCTCTGTGAACTTAATCGATTATTTAACTCTTTGAGCTTGCTTTCTGTGGTCTGCTTGGCTCCTCTCGGGGACAGAGTGAAAAAATAATGACACGGAAGCCTTCACCACGTGGTGCAGAGTCAGACTTCACACACGCGGTCTCCTCTGCCTGGCAAGGCTTTTCCTTCTTATCCTTTGAGTATCACTCACCTGGGTTTGGATGTCATCTTTTCCTGGAGAAGACATCCCTGAGTCTCTGCACCTGACTTTAGATTGCCTACCCAAGATCCAATGCCACCTTCTCTTTTGTGCTCGGCTGTCCAATTCTCAAAGAAAGCAACCTGGAGAGTTCAGGGGCAGAGCCTGAAGAGCTTCTGCCAATCGCCTGAGGTAATTCCTCCTCTGTTCCTGGCGTTTAGGATTGGGCTTTTGACTCAGCTTTGACTAGTGGTCGGTCCAAAGTTCATGGGAAAGAGTTAGTTCCCCATTCTCTTCCGCTGCCCTTGGACACTGCCAGGACTGTAATAACTACAGCTGCTCCAGCCATCTGAGACCTCAGGTGGGAATGCCCTGGGGACAAAGGTGGCATGGTAGGACAGCTGAGGAATAACGGCGACAACTCAGAGCCCTCCCTGACAATACTGAGTTGCTGAATTCACCACCTAGAGCCTTCTGACCTTGGGATTTCATGTCATCTGAAATGATAAATTTCTTTATCATTTTAGATTGTGGTAATTATTAATGGCAGCCTTCCACATCTCAATTATTATCCCATATTTTTTCATTCATAATTTTCTTCATGGGTATGATCAAAGTATGGTGAATGATCATCTTTTAACTTTTAAAAATCTGCTACATTAAAAAATACATTGCTATTAACACCCCCCTCAAATACTCTCCTTGCTTTAAACACACTTACCCCATCATTCTTGCCACTTGTCCGAAGTAGTTCTGGAAATCCTCTTTTGTGACTGTCTTTAGCTCTGTTGTGGCTTCCTCATTGTCCTACATCAATTAAAAATTTACTTTTCATGGTCATTTTGACTTTGGGGAAAAACCAGAGGTCGTGCAGTACCAGATCTGGTGAATACAGTGGATGAGATCATGTTGTAATGTTTTTATGAGCCTGCCTTTCCATTGGATGGCACTTGGGAGCAGCATCCACAGTAGTTTTGATCATACCTCATAAAGACACTCATGAAAGAAAACTTCCAGAACTGCTTTAGAGAGTGGCAAGAATGATGGGATAGAATAACAGTGTTCTAATCAAAGCGGAGCATTTTGAGGGGGATTAATGGCAATGTGTCTTATAATAATAAATATTTTAAAATTTAAATATACATCTTATGTTCATCAGCCCTATATTTATTGTATATATAGTTACTTTTGTGTTTACTTGTTTAATGTCTGCCTCCCCCCTGGACTCTAAGTTGACAGAGATGACAAGTTAATTTGTTCTCCATTGAGCCCCCAGTTTTTAGCACTAGGCCTGAGATAGAGTAGCTAATAAAAGCCTTTGTTGAAAAATGAAATAAAGGACTGAAGAAATGGTTCCTAGCCCTTTTCCTTCTCCTCCTCCTCCTCCTTCAGCGTGGCGGAATTGACAAAGCACAGGATTACTAAGAGAGAACCTAAATTTCCCTACCACTCCAACTCACTGGGTGATCCAGACAGTGCCCGTACCCCACTAGTAACTCTTCAAGCTTTGACCTCAATGCACAATAAGAAAGGACATGTTACACAGTTGACTCCCTGCACACACACATACATTAATGGAAACAAAAGATTTATGTAATATATTTACATATTAAATAATGTACATTTATATATTTATTCTTCCTATGTTATGTACTCTGCTATTCTACTTCATGTCATTTTTTAAAATGGTAGCTTTGAGTCAATGCATCAAGTTCATGACTCAGTAAATATCAACCCACAGTTCAAACACCACCTGGATTACATGAAATGTAAGGACTTTAAAAAATCTCCTGCTTTCCTCCATCTTTTTAAATTCATGGAAATTATCCACTGACTTAAATCAGGGAGTTAGCTGATTAGTTAGTTAACTAATCACCCCCTTTCCTGTGGAATTTTTCTTCACCCTGATCTTTATGTACTGGGCTTTACTGGAGGCCAGCATTAATGTACAGATTCTGCTTTAAGATCATGAAGAAGTACTTTGTACTTTTGCTTATTTTTCTCCAGTCAGCATAAAAACAAAAAGCACTATATTCTTCCTTCTCGGAAACTTAATGGCCCCATTCAACACATTTGCCTGGGCCTCGCTTCTCTATAAGTGTATGTATGTAATGATGCATACTGGAGTCACATGAGTCCACTGCCATCGTGTGGTTTAAACCCCAGGGGAGCTGGGCTCTAGATGCACAGCGAAGAATAAACCTTCACTGTACCTCCCAGCCCTCAACACAGAAACTGCCCTTGTGCTCCGTGGATTTGCCAGAGACATTCCTCTGGGGGTAGGAGGAAAGGGAGAAAGCCACTTGGCGATTTCACAACTCCAGCAAATAATGGGGTGCGGAATATATATATATCTATATATATATATTCCGTAATGCATGCCGCAGGGAAAAGACATGTACTCAAAAGGCGAGGGGACAGTGATAAATTACTTGCTTGAGTGATCAAGAAAGCTCCCTGCTAAAGACCTACACATCCGATTCCGATTCCGGAGGTATAACCTCTGTCCCTTGAAACTCGGATCAATTACTGCCTCCGGCGTCACGTGAACTGACAAACTAGATGCAAGTAGGGTTCCAGAGTCCGGGAAGAGCGCGCCGGCCCCGGGTCACATGTCTCTTAGCCGGCGCGGGAGTGAGAGGGGAGCGGGCAGGATGCGCGCGCCTGTAAGCGCCCGGGGAGGGCGGGCAGGGTGGAGGGCGCCTGCAGTAAAGCAGCCTGGAGGGACCAGGGACTGGGAGGGAAGGAAAAGATGAGCCTCGTTCTGCACACTTGAAATAGAAACAATAATAACATTTAAGAATGCTTACAACCACGCCGTTATCGCCCTACCTGAGTTGCCTCCCTCTGGAGGGGATGGGATATAAAATGCAGACTGCGGCGATTGCCACCGCCGTGTCTGGGAGTCAAGGTTCGGGCTGGCGTGGGTGCGCGCGCGGGTGGCTCCACCTTTAGGGACGCGGCTTCGGGTTCTTCACGCTCAGCCTCGGAGGACCCCCGCCCTCTTGCCCCCTGCTCCCCGCCCCCTCCTCGCGCCCCCGCCGCGCGCCCCCTCCGCGCCACCCCCGCGGAGCAGCCCCGAGCCGTCCGCCCGCCGCAGCGCCCCTGCGTCCCCGCCCGCCCGCAGCCCGGGCTCTGGCAAAGCACCGCGCGCCTGGGGCGGCGGAGCGGACCTGCGCTCGGCTCTCGCACCGCCGGTGGCTGGAGGGCGCCGCGGAGAGGACGCAGACGCAGGAGACCAGCTGCGCACCTGGAAAGTTACCCGAGGTCTGCCGAGGTTCGCGGGCTGGGAGGCTGGGGTCCCGGGGGCGCGCGGGGGGGTGGGGGGACCCGGTTGGGCACACACGTGTGCACGCTTTGCGTTGTGCGGTGTGCGCCCCGGCTCCACACCCAGCTGTCCTTGCGTGTGCTGTTTGCGTGTGGACGTGTGTACGCGCTGCGTTTGCTTAGTGTGGCAGCGGTCGCTCGGTGTCGCGGTTCCCTGTGGCGACAACATTCTCCCCCACTGCTCCTCTGGACTGGGGGCTTGGTGGCGCGGTCGCGGTGTGCGAGCCAGTCGGTGCCTCGCCGAGCTCCGGGGCTAGCTGTGAGGAGAGGAACACTCGGGCAAGGACTTTCACAAGTCCTTGTAAACTTGTGTGGCTGTCCTGTGCCCCTTTCGGCGCCGTGAGGCGCGTCCACGTTTCTGTATTTCATGGTGATAAAGAAACAAGAGCCAACAAACGAAAACAAGAAACTTGCCACTTTGGGGATGAGGGAAAAAGAAATGGGTTCAGGTACAAGCCTGAGAAGATCCAGAGCGCAAATGCATAGCAGTTGAGGCCAGAGCTGAGAATAGAAAGAAACTATGAGGGCAGAATAATGAGGTAGAAAGAATGACGCTTAGACAACTTGGCTTCCTGGTAGTCATGTTGTTCCCATAATTTCCAGGGACATTTTTTTTTTTCTTAAATAAAAGAAGAGAGCAATATACACCTGTTGGCTGCCCCACTCCCGTACACACCGTTCCTTAGGAATTGTCTCTTTTCTTCTTTACAAGTTTCTATTTCACTCCTGGAGAAGGGAGTCGTCCCACACAACATAACAGCAGCTGTCTCCAGTGGCCCTGTTTAGTTTTGCAGGGTGGAGTATGAGCAGATATGGTGGAGATTTCTCCAGATATCTGGAGACTGCCCTCCCCATCGGAATGCTGTGTAATTAAGAATGAGCCACATATGAGATGGAGCCTAGGAATCTTCATCTTTTACACGGAATGCTTAACACTGGTTAGGCGGAATCATTAGAAATGAGACTAATGAGAATCCCCTCACAGGGAAGGTATATGCTGCCTGGTTTGGTGCCAAGTCCTATAATCCGAGATTGTCTTGCTTCCTGTAGGCTGTTTTCCTATTTGTTATCTCCTCCTGTTCAGCAGTGTTTTAATTTTCTTTCTCATTGGTTCATTATCTGGTTTTATGGATAGTCACACTGCTGCTCTTCTAAAAACCCTTTGGATGACATACAATATCATCTTGAAGTTCCTAGTCTCAGCATCAGCCCTTTCTGTGGTCTTTTGTAATTGAGTTTCTACCCTCACTCTTCTGCAAAAGGCTAACCTCACTGCTTTCCCCTCTAATTTCATTTTCCTTTGACAGGTCTGGGATTTGAGCTGCAGGCTGCTCCCTTCTTGAGAAATCTTCTGTCCATGGCCTCTATGATAGCTTTCTTAGATCTCTTGTTTGTACAACCATTCCTTTTCCTTCATTGTTTGCTTTTCCACCTCTCCCATGAAAAATCCAATTACCAGTATGTTCATACACAGCTTTAGAAGCATTCTTGTCTTTTTTTTTTTCTTTTTTAATGGGACTTAACATCTTATCTCTCTAGGACTGTCTCTTGAGCTGTCATCTCTGTGTATGTAAATTATTCCATTTTGATGATCTCAGAGACTTCAGATTCCACGTGTATAAATCCTGACCCATTGCTGTCCCCATAGGGCATACTTATTCTTCTGCGTTCCACCAGTGTCACAGAGACTGGCCAATGGAGGTGCCCTATGTGTCATGTTGGAATGAATAAATATGTAATGTTCAGTGAAAAATACTACTTTTCTCCAATCTTTCCCCAATTAAAAAAAATAAGTTGGAATCATTTTGTCTCCTCTCATGTGTGCATCCATTTATTCCCCATATTAGAGGCTTTACCTCATCCCATGCTCATGTTTTAATACCAAGCACTCTACATCCTTTCTTGCTTTAACCAAAGCAATAGCTTCTTATTGCTTCTTCCATCTTCTTTCCAGGCGCATATAGACCTAGATCCTCCCTGTCTCTTCACTACCAATCTCTCAGGTACTTCTTCAGCTTCCACCTGTGTATCCTTTCCTGCTACTTACTTTTAGATCTCCCTTTGTTTTGATTCTCTAGTCTCTCATTTCTTACTGCTTACTAAACTTCTCTACCTTAAATTTCCACAGGTCCCTCAAAAGCATGTCCACATTTAAACCACTGTTGTATCCTTCAAATTGCTCTTTTGGTTAATGATCCCATCTTTTAGCCAATCACTACAGAATCAACTCGCAAATCTTTATTCTCTTTCTTTTCACTACCACTCAAATTCTATAAGCTGTACTCTACTGACCTACATTTCTGTATGTTCCATATTTATCTTTTAATATAGTACTTGATAATAGATGAATAGAACCTACCAAATTTGGCAATCAAAATATAGAATAGGCAGCATTCATAAAATTCACTGTGAACGTTCTGCTGGGAGACAGGGGACTTCAAAAACTAGACTCGAGGGTATTTGAAACTTTAGTGCAGTAAGCTCCTATAACTGCATGTCAAGAGAAAATTATTCTCCAAGTGAAGGCGCTGCGGACAGAGAAAATAAGTAGATTCAAAACTGAGCCCTAGGTCAACAGTCGAAAGGCCATCTGGACAGATACTTTTAATTGTAGCAACGATATGGAATTTACTAGTTTCTCACCAGAATGATTCTGTGTGTTTTGCTTCAAGAAGAAGTAAGGATTTATATATCCAAAGATGGTTAATTATTTTCTCAAAATACTATGGTGAGACAAACTAGTGGTAGCAACAAAGTGATATGCCTCAATTTCACATACACAGAATTTTATCTAGAAAAACTTTTGTAGTTCACTTGCCTAATTTCCAGCTCAACTGCCCATATCATAAAAAGAATCTATCGTACTTTTTGTGATTTATTGAAGGAAAGGAAGTTGTAGAATTACCTGTAGATGTAATTTTTATGAAATCTCCTGTGAAAATGTTGTTCTCTTCTGATTGTCATGGAGATGGTCCTTTTTTATTTCTCTAGTTTGTGTTCACATCGTTAGAATGGGGTTGGCACTCTGGGATGACCTTAGTCCTCTACTTATAACTTCTTGGATTGGTGCAAAAGCCTTTAGTTCCTTACTTCCTTTAAGCGCTTTTCACTTGGTTCCATATTTATTTCCAAGCAATTGTTTTTCTAAAGGACAAATATCACCATGTAACTTTAGAAAACTTGGCTTACATTAAAATCCAGAAATCATAACGTGACATATGAAGTTCTTCAGTATCTTACCCAGTATCTTACTTTCTTAGCTTTGTTACTCATCACTTTTCTTCCACCCATCATGCCTTTTAGCCAGTTCCCTGAATGTGCTATCATCTTCTTACATTCATTTTTAGCATATGTTCTTTTAAAAAATTAATTAATTTTCTCTTTTAGAGCAGTTTTAGTTTTACAGAAAAATAGGCTGAATAAAAGAGTTCTTGTATATCCTCCCTCTACCAGTTTCCCCCGTTCTTAACATCTTACAACAGTGTGATGTATTTGTTACAATGAAGAATCGATGTTGATAAATTACTAGTTTTAACGAAAGCCCCCATTTTACATTAGGGATTACTCCTTGTATTGTACTTCCCATAGGTTTTGACAAGTGGATGATGACAGTGTCATGGAGTATAATTTCACTGCCCCAAACATCCTTTGTCCCTATGGTACACCCATTCTTTCTCCTCCCCCTCACTCCAAAACTCCTGGCAACCACTGATCTTCTTACTGTCTTCAAGCTGTTTTCCAGAATGCCACAGAGTGAGAATTGGACAGGTGGTTCAAATAGGCTTCTTTCACTTAGTCATATAGTGCCTGTGTGTCTCCTCACTGGTTGCTGTTACTTTCTATTATTGAATGTGATTCCATTATATGGATATATCATGGTTTTGTTTATCATTAACCAAATGGAAGACAATGGTTGCTTCCAAGTTTTAGCAATTACAAATAAGGCTACTATAAACATTTCTGTGTAGGTTTTAGTGAAGACATGCGTTTGTTATCAGTTGAATGAATACCAAGAAGCATGATTAGCTTTAGAGAAAATTGACACCTTGTCTTCCAGAGTGTCCACATCATGAAACATTCCCACTAGCAACGAGTGAGAGTTCCTATTGCTCCACGTCCTTGCTAGCTTTTGGTGCTGTCAGCGTTTTGGATTGTTGCTATCTGAATTTGTATAGTGCCATTTCCTTCTTGTTTTGATTTGGAATTCCCCAATACTTCATGACATTGAACAATGTTTTATATGGTTGTTTGCCATCTATAAATCTTTGATGAGGTGTCCCTTCAGCTCCTTTGGCCATTTTTTTTTTTGAGCATTAAGAATTCCTCCTTTATTAGATGTATTTTGCAAGTACTTCCCCAGTCTGTGACTTCTTTTTTTTAAAATTTTCTTCTTCTGAAGAGGTGTTTAATGTTAAAGCTCAAATGACCAATTTCTCCTTTTCTGAATTCTGCTTTTAGTCGTTTATCCAAAAAAGTCATCATCAAACTCCACGTCACCTAGATTTTCTCTTATGTTGTCTTCTAGTAGTTGGTTTTGGGTCATATGTTAGTCTATGGTCCATTTTGAGCTCATTTTTGTGAAAGATGGAAGACCTGTGTCTAGATTTTTCTTTCATTTGGATGTCTAATTTTTCTAGTAAAATGTGTTAAAGACCATTTGCCCATTGATTTGTGTTTGCTTCTTGGTCAAGGACCAGTTAATTACATTGTGTAGCTCTATTTCTGGCTTTCTCTTCTGTCTCATTGATGGATGTACTTGTCTGTTCTTTCACCAGACCCTTTATGGCCACTTCTGTTTTCCAGACTGTCTTGGTTAGTACAGCTTTTTAGGGAGTCTCAAAGTTGGGTACAGTCAGTTCTTTGACTTTGTTGTCCTGTAATATTGTATTGATTTAGTACTCTTTTTTGAGACAGGGTCTCACTATGAGTTTCAGGCTGGCCTTGAATTCATTATACAGCTCAGGGTGGCCTTGAACTTGCTGCACTCCTCTTGCCTCAGCCTTCCGAGTGCAGGGATTGCAGGCGTGCCACACCATGCCCAGCTTGATTTAGTACTTTTTTTGATGCATAAGTTTTTCTACTGAGATAAGTTATTTTGTGGGGTAAATATTGTTAATAATAATAATAAGAGTAATATTTAACATTAAACATACTTTATGCCAGGCACTGTTAAATTCTTATGGGTCATCTCATTTAACCTTCTTAAGACTTTAGGTGATGTGCAGCAGTATTTCATCTATCTGTCCATCTGTGCATCTGTCTCTCTCTTCTGTGATTGATCATTATCTGCTCAGGGCATAGATACACTAAGCAAAATGCTCAGACGGGGATCTTAGCCACCATTATAATCTCCCATATTTACAGATATACATGTGGGTGCACATACATATAAATAAGTGTGTGTGCCTGTGAATATATTTATATCAGATTCCAGATGGGTAGAGGAAGAAACAGATATTTTCTAGATCAGAGCCAAGAATTTGGTTTCAAACTGCTTTAGAAAGAAAAACAGACAACAAAGCCTAGCTCCTCCCACACTGACTGCCAGGTGTTAAAAGGCTTGGAAGAGCCTTTGCAGCTATTTTCATATTTTCTGTGTCTTTTCTGTTTGTCATTTGGTGTCTTGCATTTCCTAAATGGAAAGAAAATTAATATAATAATAAAAATTTATTATTACATAGTCTTCTCTTCTTGCTAAATGCCACTATTTATTCTTCTCTCTCCTCCTTTACTGTGGAAGAGTATCACCTTCCCAGTGAATAAATTTTTTTGTTACCTTCAGAGATAATTAGGTAACAATTACTAGATATGTAATTATCTAATTACATTTTTGGTTTAAGAATTTCACTGTATTATGTGAAAATAAATAGAGGCTACCTGATGGAATTGTAAAGCTCCAGGAGTCTTTGCAGTTCTGGATTGGATTTATATCATATTAAATGGCTTTTCCTACTCGCCATCTTTTGGTGTGGCTTGCTTCCTAGGCTGCTCTTTTGAAAGGACTTCCTTTTCTCAATAGAGGATATAATCCAGAGAAAGCAAAAGCTCCCTCCCTGAAGGGAATACTTGCATCTCTAAAGGGCTCTTGTCTGGAAGGAACACAGTTTACTGGACTTAATGTCCCACCCAGAAATAATCTCCTCTGGGCCTCCTTGATGTCAAGACTTTAAGTGGCTGTCTCCAGCCTCATATTATGAAAAAAGCTGCTATTTGCTTGATGCATACTACTTGCAGGCATTGCAGGCATTGTACTTTACAAACATAATCTTCATAATAACGTTATGAGATAGATACAAGTCTATCCATTTTATAGATAAGAATAGCACATCAGAGAAGTAATATATAGAAAGTTGGGAGAGGGAAGATGCTTTTCTAACATCCAGTGGCTTGACTCTGTTGCTCATGTTAAATTCAGTCCTTATCTCCATAGTCATTGCTTATTATGTCATGGACTGCCCTCTGAATATAAGAATGGTTTTTAATAACCTGAGTTGCCTGATTGATGAAGCAGCGTCCTGTAGTTCACTTCTTCTTGTGGCTCTAATCCATATTTGAAAAACAGATTATCTTTGGATCTGATACAGGAAACACAGCGAATCTCATTTGGTCTTAGGAAGCCAGAGACTTGAAATCTGGTCTTCAGGGCCACTGAAAATTAAACGGGTTTACTAAGAAATTGGACTTGTAGTGGGCCACTTAGTACCTTATTTATCTTAAATTAGTGACTTGAAAAATGTTACTTTCATTTAACCCTACTTTGAAAGCCTAAAATATTTACAAGATTTATACAGCCTCTGACTTGACTATTAAAACCAGAGAATTGTTGATGTTTGGAGAGAATTTAATACGCTTTCACTAATTGATCCTCAGGTTTGTAAAGCCTTGGATTGGATCAGAAGTTTTTAAAGGCCATTCATGAAACCAAAATAATTCTAAGCCTTTTCATAATTAGGATGCTAGAATTGTTTTCTCTGTCAGATTTGACTGCAGATCCTTAAAAGAATATGCCTCTGATGTAGTACATGACACTTAGATCTTAGTAAATAACATGTTACATGAATAAAGAATGAGCTGTTAGTTTAATATTAACTTTAAATGTGTTGATATTTGATTTTGTTTTTTATAAGGCCTTTCCTCTTTCTTCCTTGGCTTGAGAATGCTTGTCCATCAACCAAAAAGCAAGAAGGTGGCTCACTTCTGCATGTTAAAAATTTGTGCTCATGCTAATTTAAAGTACCTTTGGGAGAATCTTTCTTCTGCCTGTAATTTAGAATCTCATTCAAGTTTATTCTCAGGTCCCAGTCATGTTCTGAATTGCTTATTCAAGATGAAAGTGTATCTAGGGCCACTTCTTCAAATTCTAGTCTCTTAAGCCTTCTTATATGTATTTAATATATGGGAATAGTAAATGCTGCCAGGTAAACAGAAACTTAAAGGCTGCATCTGCCACATCTCTGCAATATATTAAGGCAAGTCTCTGTAGGCCGATGTTTATGAATGACTACTTTGAGCCTAAGTTTTATGAGGAATATCCCAGTGTTGTAAGATTACTTTTATAAGTATGTTTATTTTCTGTTTGTACTGTCTTATCTAAGGTAACCTTCATTGGTTATTTGGTTGTGTTTATTTGAAACTTGGAAGCTGTGTTACATCTTTATATCTATGTCTTTCTGGTGAACTAAGTCTAAAGTACTTAATTTCTATCTGAATTTGAAATTATGAAGGCAGGAGTGGCAAGAATATGTGATTTATAAAACTTTGAAGTTTCATCCTTCCCGCTTAAAGATAATTAGAAGTAATTTAGTCTTAGTTTGTAAATACTGTAATGCTTCTTTGTTATGACTACCAAAAACTGCATTTGCAATAATATGAAGCTGAAATACCTAGCCTAAGAAACCATCAGCCTTATGGGAATTAATCAGAGTAGTATTTTCCAAATTTCACCGATTTGAGTTTCCTTTTCATGATTTTGCTCGTATGTGCTTATTACCTATATGTATTTACATTTAATTATATTGAATTGGCTTAGTAAGCCTAATATACTTAATTTAGCACCCACTTAAGTAATAATATCAGTTATTGGTGCTAATTGTTTATATTTTTAATAAGTGTTACACTAAATAAGCTATTGAGCTAGAAAAAGATAATTCTGAATCAACTAAAATCATCCTCCGTACTTCCTGATCTTTCTGTTATGTCCTGAGACTTACAGAAGCAGTGCTTACTTTGGGGCCTACACTAAGGATTTCTCAATAAGAAAAGAATGGAGCCTCACACCATAGGTCAGCATGTTTTGGACAACCTTGACTTTAGGATCTAAAGTAAGGAATGCAGAAGAATCTCCATGCCTCCATTTCCTTCTAGAGACCACAGTCTAGAAGTTTTTAACAGTAAGCATTATGAGAAATACAACACTTTTTAGTACCTACAGCAGGAGAAAAGTGCTAATAAAGCAACACAAAGTCTGCTTCCACCTTGCACAGAATGCAGATGTGGCTTTTTCTAAATAAAGGGAAGCTTTCATACTGTGTAGTTGCACAGGGAGCTGTGAGAGTTGTGACATTTCCAAGCCTCTGTTGCTGTAGCTGCTCCTTTGCATCTTATCTTTTGCCATGCCGACATCGAAATCGTAGTCTTGTTGTGATGCTTTTGACAGCTGTCCAGAGAAAATGACCAAAGAGAACAGCAGGTAACCCAGGCTGTTTATGCAAAACATTTAGGTGCCATACTTGTGCAAAGAAAGGGGAGGAATGAACCCAAATGCCAACTCCTTCTCCTGGAGGGATAAAGGAGATAAAGGAAATCATTCACTAGCTTTCGTTCTGGAAGCATGGGGAAATTGATTGCTCATCAAACAAGGATGACTGCTCTGCTTCTGTCTCATTGGAATGAGAGGCAAGGTCAGGCTGTGGGAAAACAGAGCTCCATTTGGTCATTCTCAATTATCTGCACTTTCTCAGGTCCCAGGGCAGCATGGGAAATGGTTCAGTGAAACCCAAACATTCCAAGCATCAAGATGGCCATGCTGGGAATCTCAGCACTGATGCCCTTCGGAGCAAGGTGGTGGAGCTGGAGAGAGAGCTGAGGAGGAAGGATGCTGAGATCCAAGAGCGGGAGTACCATCTGAAGGAGCTGCGGGAGCAGCTGTCGAAGCAGACTGTGGCCATTGCTGAGCTCACAGAGGAGCTCCAGAACAAGTGCATCCAGCTGAACAAGTTGCAGGATGTGGTGCACATGCAGGGAGGAGGCCCGCTGCAGGCCTCCCTGGAGAAAGTGCCTCTGGAGGTTCACCGGAAGACCTCAGGATTGGTGTCTCTCCATAGCAGGAGGGGAGCGAAGGCAGGAGTGTCTGCTGAGCCAACAACCCGGACCTATGACCTCAACAAACCCCCTGAGTTTTCCTTTGAGAAAGTGAGAGTCAGAAAGGACTCCAGGTAAGCAGTTCTCAAGCCCTCCTAATGCAGATGGCCTTATATTGTGAAAAATTAGAGTGATATTATGGAGGAAGGTACTGAATGCCAAACCGTGTGTCAACTCTCAGATTTGGAGACAGAAGTTTCCAAAATGGGTTTGTTTTACAAACATATCTCACATTAAGCAGAAGTTTTCTTTAAAGCAGGAATTGTACTTTCCTGGGACTTTGAGGTAATAACATTTGTATTTATAGGTACAGAGCCAGATGTAACTGACGGACTAAATTTACTGATAGTCATTTCCATTGTCTTGAGCCCCTAGAAGAATGATGAAGTGGTTTTAGGATGTCTATACTTTTTATTTCTAGTGGAATAAACATAAAAAAGTATACCCAAATTACAACTAAATATGACCACATATAGCAAAAGCGCTTCTTCGTAGTTAGTCTGTAAGCATCACCAGAAAGAAAGTTAATGAGGCTCAGAGGAACTTGACTTCATTCACTGTCTCCACGGTTTCTATTGAGCACGACACTGCCAGCCACTGTGTTAGATACTTAAAATAAATAGATACAGAGGCCTTTGCATTTGAGAGATGGACAGTGATTGCAGAAACAAATAAGAATTGTGTAATTACTAACTGGGGTAAGTAATATGATGAAAGTGTCTGGAGTGGGGGTGGAGGAAAGAGGCATTAAGAGCAGGACGTGGTGAAGGCCTGGCTGAGGAGGTGACCTTCAACTGAGATCTGAAGGGCAAAAAGGAATGGGGACTAGGTGGAAAGGGCTTTTCAGGCAGAGGAACTATTAAAAGCTAGAATTAATTTTAAGAAATAGAATCATTTCTCTTAAAAGTGTTTAAAAATGTACACATCATAATGATACATATTTATAGGATACAGTGTGAGGTACATTGTATACGTGTGTACACAGCCTTTACAGACCAAATCAGGGTGATTAGCATTTCCATCTCCTTATCATTTCTTTATTTTTGGAGCAAAAATTAGAATTTTAAAAGAACATATAATGTGTGAGTGTCTGTATATGTGTAATCTCTTTTGTGGCTAGGGTTTGTTTATCCTCAGCAGTTAAGATTGATTAGAAATGTGAGTTAGGGCCCCTTTGCACATTATTTTTGAATAGGTAAGTACTTATTATAAGTAAGTACTTAATTGAAATGAAATACTTTGCCTGATAATGTCTTGGTTTATCCTGGATCTTTGTTGCAAAATGTAGGATCTGTGAAATTAAATCAAATTTTAATTTATTTACAGACACACGTACTATAAATTAAGATAAAACATCCAACTTACACAAATAAAAATGATTAATTTTGACAACAAAATTATAAAGGGAGGTTTAACTCTTCAGTTTGTTGACAGTAGTTGCTACATAGTGAATGATCAATAAGTACTTGTTAAGGAAACTAGTCATACCGGAGTATTAATCATACTATTCTGTGAGTGAAAGAAATCTGATTAATATTACACTTCAGGAGTGCTTCATTAAGTCAAACATTTTGTTATCAATTGGTTAGAAAGGTCTTATCTATTTCCTTTCAAAAGTAATATGTATTTATTTTAATAGTATGAATTCACATACTTTCATTTGATTTTTAAAAATTGAATATCACCCCAGTGTTCTTCTTGGAATATTAGAACATATGATAGGATTAATATTATGCATTATACTACAGTGTACGTGTGCATAAGTACAACAGCAGTGTGCTTTCATGTACAAGATGTGTAAGAACATTTCTTAGCAATTCATCTTCTTATTTATTTATTTATTTGCAATTCATTTTCTTTGAGTCTCTCCCTATATATGCTACCAGATTTCTCCTCTTGAACCATTTACTTTGTTCAAAGACTTGTGCTCACCTTGAGAACAAAATGCCATTCTCGTGGTAGTGAATAATCTGAGATAAGCATATTCCTTTGAATTTCTTTATTAGCTCTGTTTTAATCAGGCAAAGAAATCAGTAGTTATGCATTGTCAGTTTCTAAGCCATACCACACTCTTTTTCTACTGTCTGTAGTGAGTAGGGTATAGGAAAGGCAACGTATCTCCTGAAGGAGAGTTATTGATGATTCCCTCACCCCGAAGGCAAGTGAAGCAGGTACAAGCCCATGCTGCGGTCAGGACAAAGAAAAGGACTAATTGATTTCTTGATGATTAGTCCTGAAGACTACAAACTAGATCTTTCTAGTTCTAATGATTCTCACTGGCTTTCACAGAGCCTTATTTTTTTTTTTTTTTTTTGGTACCGGGGATCGAACTCAGGACCTTGTGCTTGCGAGGCAGGCACTGGAACCACTGAGCTAAATCCCCGGCCCCCACAGAGTCTTATTATGGCTCTACATTTATAAATGAAGTAGAACATGGGCTTTATTGACTGGTTTGTGCCTCAATTTCCCTTGCAAAAGTACAAATATATCTTTCTCTGGATCTGAAATAACTGGTTAAACACAGCTTAACTTCATCAGTTTGGAAACTTAATTTTTTAGTGTTTCAAAAGTGCTCAACATTAACAATTCCACTTTTATTTCCAAATAGTTTTAGTTCTGGAGAAAAGGCAGAAGTAAACTTTGTATATTTTTCTCTTTTTTGTGAAACAATTTTCTAGAAGTTAGAGCATTAAGAAGATAGGAGTGTCCTTCCCTGATAAGAGGACAATGCCCAGTATCTGTTGGTATGGCTACTTTTCTAACAGCACTTGTGGAACATTAAAACAGTTAAGATCCTTAGTCAAAATGGATCCCTTGTTTGTTCTGAGGGTCTCATAATTTCCTTGTTGAACTGTTATAAAGTTTCCTGAACGAATTTAAGACTAAATTTGTTCCTGTGTGTATCAACTACATTTTGGATAAAGTTCATCCTCACCATTGAATGGCTTTTCCATATTTTTGTCAAAAAGAATAGCAAGAAACTGAGGGAACATGCACAGCTTTCCTGTAACCAGCAAAACTAGGGAGATAAGGCCGGGGATTTAGCTCAGTGGTTCCGCCGCCTGCCCCGCAAGCACAAGGTCCTGAGTTCGATCCCCAGTACCAAAAAAACAAAACAAAACAAACAAACTAGGGAGATAGAAGAACTGATAGGAACCTGGGGAAATAATTTGAGGGAATGATAGAGTCAGAATTTGAGGATTCCATTTCAGTAATTCATGAGAAATTAAAACTCCTGACGTACCAGTCTGTAATTTTCTGAGTCCTCTGTGCTCGGAGTTACTGTGAATGGTCAGTGAGTCGCCTCCCCTCCAAGGCAGCTCCAGCTCTTACCTACATCCTTGACCTGTACCCACTAGGTGTAGTTTTAGGGTCTGAAGGAGTAATTTAAATAGTTGCACTTCCATGCTTTACATGCAGAAACTTACATAAATGGCATTGGGGAATTCTGGAAATTTCCTTGCAAAATTCCAGGGTCTGCTTTTTAAGATCAAGTTCTCAAATAATTCAGGGCTATCCAGTGGGACTTTCTGCAGTGAAGAAAATGTTCTATAATGTGTGCTTTCCAGTAGGTAGACAATAGCCAGATGTGTCATAAGCCCTCAAAATATGGCTAGTGTCACTACACAACTGGATTTTCAATGTTAACAAATTTAAAAATTAAATACCCACATGGGTCTAACTATATTCCATACTGTGGTTCTAGATTGCTATTGTCTAATTGCTATTGCATGGGATGAGAATTATGACCTAGTGGAGTTTGGGAACACTTTATGGACAAAGTAAGACCAGTGCTAAGTTTTGGACAAAGAGACAGGGAATGAGAATGTGCCTGTGAGGTTGAGGTGGGCACAAAGTGGAATTGCTATGAAGCTACACCGAACCTGCCTAGCCCTTTGTGGTGAGTTGGCCTTCTGCCAGTGGACCATTTTAGATCTTCAAAGACGGACAGCTATGTAGGCATGTAGCCCATTTCTATTATAGACACTCAGCTTTATTGAAGTATTTATTATAAATCACTAGATGAGTCAGAGTAGTACAGTCTATCAGATATTCTGATCTCTGATCTGAAATTAATATGGTGAACATCAGAAGACCTTTGAGCTAGAACCTTAGACTTTGTTCCACGTTACCTTCCTTCCTGGAGAAACCCAGCAGCAAGTGCAGGGGAGTGGCAGGAGGCACCAGGGAAGGTGAGGAGTGAAGTTGGGCTCTGAGATTTCTGATTGAGATGAGTTCTTCTCTCTAAGCTACCCTAGTGTTCTCAGATCTACCTACAGGAGTGAGAGGCCTCCAGGCAGACAATTTTGGGCAGCACCTCCCTGACGAGGGCATCTCCCATTGATTGGGAGTTAGATCGGTGGTGCTTCCTGCCCAGAGCCTGCCCAGTGCATCAGTGGTTACCAAGAACTGCAGCCTCTCAGCTCAGGACTGTGAGAAGAGAACACAGAGAAGGGGTTTGACCCATCTGATGGCTCAAACTGTGTATTATGTGGAGGTCACATACGGGTTCCTGGATGAATACAGTACTTCTCAAGGCTGAAGCCTTGAGGCAAAGGAATGAAGGGAAGAGCTCAGATAAAATTTCTGTCTCAGACTTGCCATGAGCACCAAGACAACCATGTGTCCAGAAGTCAGATCTTTTACTGAAATTAAGTTTCCTGTTTATGTAGACATTGTTTAGCAAACTTTAGCACTGGCAGAGCAGAATTACCAGCTCGTGCTGATCGTCTGGTGGAGCACAGGCAGATTAATCAGAGACATCTGGCAAGTAGCTGGTATGACTGCCTTTTTCTAAGAATGCTTAAACTATCATTTGAAACTATTGTTCTTTCATGAAAAGGAAAGATAAAACAAAGACATGCCATCTGACTTCAAATGTTGCCTCTAGTTTTAGGAAGGACAATTAGTTTTATTTGTCACTCCCACCCAGGAGCAGGATAGGTAAAAGTGGAAAATGCTAGTGAGTCACGCATTTAAGGAAGATGTGGAAAAGGAGGAGGAAGAGTATGTTGTTATTATTTGTGCTTCCTTTGTAAAGCAGTACTGAGCCATTGAATGTGTATTAGAGAAA